GTAAAGTACAGAATCACTCACTGCTTGACGCGTTTTTAAGAATTGCACATACTCGGTATCCATGTGCACATCGACCTATTTTCACTTTAAAAAAAATCACAGAATTGCACAAAAATAGCACTGCGCACCCCCTTGACTTTATCTATGTACACACCGACCTATTTTCATTTAAAAAGTAAAATAAAATTCACAAAAATCCAATTTTTTTACTCTTGTAGAAAGCGGCAAACAAATAAGTGAGCGATTCTACACTTCTGAATTCTGGTTCTGAATATTTTCAAAGAGAAGGCATCAGTCATTATAGAAAATTACGTTTGAACAACTGACGAGATGAAGTTCTGCTTTTGTGATAAGTCTGTAGCGAAATAGCGATGCAGGCATCCATTCAGTTATGTTTAGCAGTTTTTATATAAATTATAATAATGATCTGAAATAGTTATTGACTCTTATGCTTCCATTCAGTCATGTTTAGCCTTTTTCATATAAATTATAATAAAAATGTATTATATGAAATTAACCTTTCATCTAAATTAAAACATCAATCTTAAATAGCTATTTATTATTATACTTACTTTCTTGCCGCAATTATTTTTGGCAGCATTGGCATCAACAATAGTTTGGCCATTTTTTACGGCCCTCGAAACCGATTAGTACGGAAGTTTTTATTGTCATTGCTTTCATTTTAATATTTTCTATTATTTGCAGCTACATTAAATATTTTAGAATATTATTTACAGGTGCTTTTCGCGTGTGAAAATACATGGTGCTAAATTAGAATTTACCTTTATGATTTATTCACAACTAAATCATAAGTGATGGTTAAAAATGTGTTAAATCTTTACATTTCATGACTGAAATGCGTATTTGCAGTTTCTAGCAATATCAAAGCTTTATCTGTGGCGCCATCTGCTGGTGACTTTTTAAACTAAAAAGCATTTACAGTTTTGTCTTTGGACTTTTTCAAATTTTGGGGTACAATAGTATAATGCATTATATACAGTATTATAATGTAGTAAATTCTGAAGCGAAATTTGCAAAATTTGTCACATCTCAGTTCATAACGTAGTACTTATAGGAATAAGAAAATCTTCTATAGTTTGAGAATTGCTATTAAGGCAATGTAGGAAATCTTAGCAGAAAGTTGAAAAAAAATAGAAAAATACCAATTTAAGTAGATTTTGAGTACAAACACATACACGAAGAAGACCTTCTCATTTAAACCGTTATTTTATCTTGCGTTAAAAGAGAAATATTTTGTTAGAGAAATATTTTATTCAGCGCTATGAAATACTTGTACAAATATAATTAGAACATTTTCAAACTTTAATTTGAATTATCTTTAATATTGAAGAAATATTTAAAAAAAAGACTGAGAGGATGAAAGTTGTTCGAAATATTTTTGCGTATTATATTTTTACCCCAAGTGGCACCATGATGTCGTAAATGACGTATCAACCTCGTCGCGGATGATGTAGCAGAGACGTCATATCACGTCGAAATTCCACGCTTTTACGACCGTCGCAAAGACGTGGATTTGAGGTCTTCGCTTACATTTTTCTTTTAAGCAGAAACATCGCTTCGTCGATGATCGGTCTTATTGATGTTGGCGAAATGTTGGTAATAGTGAACGGCATGGTATGAGGCGACATGGATAAGCGTAAAGTTTACCGCGAGCATACATCAGTTATTCTGAATTGGTTAAAAAAATCTGAATGCTTTTAGATTTTGACGGTTGTTTGGTTTTTTTAAGCTGTTAAGCCCATCAGCGGCCGAGTGGTAAATGTTCTGTTCGGTTCGAGGTTTGAATCCCGCGAACGGGCTGGCTGCATGGATGTTTTAGTGGTTTTCCTCCCATGTGTAACGTGTATACGAGCCATATTTGGCTAATCTTTGGAATATGATAACAGGTAGTTTGGCGACATTTTGGTAAGGCGATAAAGGTTACTAGCTAGGACTTTAGCAGTGTACATGGATAAAGTCAAGAGTGAGCGCAATGCGATTTTTGTGCAATTCTGAGATTTTTTTTTAAGTGAAAATAAGTCTACGTGTACATGGATGATACCGTGTATGTGCAATTCTTAAAAACGCGGCAAGCAGTGGGCGATTCTGCACATTGTCCCAATTTCGCACCTAATCTTCGTCATGATTAAGCACTTTTGTTCCGAAAAAGTTCTAGCATAAGCGTAATTCGGCTAGCAGATTGTTGGAAAAAAAATGTTTAATTAAAAGACATGCCTTTACTTCGTGAAAACAAAATGGCGTTCAAAAAAAAAAAAAAAAAAAAAAAAACTAGCAGGTCGCTGTAGCAGGGTTGGTCGCCAAAAAATCACAAAGTTACCATAATCCAAAGATTAACCCCAGTTTCCTTTAGAAAGTCCTCCACGAAGGCATCCCTTCCCTAAAGCAGATAGCCCTCGAGGTTTTGCCGTAATTAAATAACCTAACGTTCTAAAGCTGTTATTCAGCTCGCAGACTACCAGAGTGCTATTACGTACACTCTTATTAACCTTTTTTTTTTTGTCCTTTCAGCTTTATTATTAAGCTAGAACTCCCGATTCAGCGTTAAGTGTTGGTAAACATTTTCCCCAGTTTTTCTCAGTTTATCATATGAATGTCCAATTTTCCCCATGAGACAGCTTTACAAAACTTATTTTGTCTTTTTATTAGTAACGTTTTGTTTGTTTACTTTGTTCATTAAATATCCCGTTCTTGGCACTTAAGCCGCAAGGAATTAGAATCAACAGCAAAATCACAAAATATTTAAAAATTGTATTTTTTTTATAATTTCCGACAAAGTCGCGCGCGGTAGAGAAATTTTTTTCGTACAGTTTTGCCACTGCTCGCTTTGAAATCCTTGATTTTGTTAACGAAAAGTTCGTTAAATTTTTACAAAATATGAAATCGATACCAAAACAAATTCAAATTTCGGGTTCCAGGTGCCCATATTCGGGTGGAGGACTGCTGTTCAAAATTGGATGGCTCTAGGTTGCGTTGAATTTTCATACTGCGAGAAACATGCATGCATTCGTGTAGATTGTTCATTATTTAATTTCTTGAAATATAATACAGAACGAGAATATTTAGTGGCAACAATTCCCTTTTGGATTAATAACGATAAATGTGAGATTTAAGTTTTATTAGCAGTTAATTCTATGTTAACGAATCCGTTATGATATTCACAATCTTGAGGGGAAGATTATTAGAATTTTTTCTACCATTCTGCCGGTTTGCTATTGGATCTACTTTCAGAGCATTTATAGAGTTGCCGCTGAGTTGGCGCAGTTTAATATGTGTTAAGAACTTACCTAGTTTTCCCTTTCTGATGCAAAGTGGCAGATAAATTTAGACAGACTTTAATTTTAAAATGTAATTCGGATGCGAAAAGTGAAGATAATTGACATAATGAATATACTGGAAGATAACACTGTTTGTATTAGTTAAAAATATTATGTCGTTGAATAATTAAAAACTTGACAAAATTCCGCTTTTGTTAAAATTTTTTCAAGTAGTTTTCTACCAGTTATAGCCAAAATGCGTGTTTTCTGCTCACCACCTTAAAAATGCTTCAAAAATGAAATACAAAAGAAATTTAGAAAAACACAGGAATAAAATATGTTCTTCATTAATGAATCTTCAGTTTATATTAATAAATGCTAGAAATCTTCAGTATTAAATTAATTTTAATTTCAAAGCTCTGACCCAAATTTTCGTTATTTGATGCATATCTTTAATATAACATTACAACATATAACATTACAATAATTGCAATATTATCTTTAATATAACATTAAATAACGACGAAGTTTAAATTTTCTGGTTAATAAGTACTTTGTGTCTTAAATAAAATAAATTATGGAAAAATGTGAAAGCTGAGATTTTATATTTTGCCCAAAGGGGCGTTTTTTTAAATTCCATAAATTTATTCCAAACCATAAAATTCAGTTCAACAGCAATATCACAGAATAATTTTAAAAAACGAGCTGGAGATAAAAATGTTTTTTCGTAAAGTGTTGCCATTGTTCGCTTTGAAATCGATGAGTTTGTTGATCAAAAATTCGTTAAAATGTTACAAAATATGAAACACATAATAAATTCCAAATTCGTGCTTTCAAATGCCCATATTGGAGTGGAGGATATTTACTCACGAAAGACATTACAATTTAAAAATAAATAGTAGTTTTGTATAGAAATCTAACAATATTGTGTTGAATTCTATTTTAAATGACGTCCGATCATTTTATAGCACTAAAAAGAACTTGGGGGGGGGGAGGAAAAAAACGCAAGTACAAATGCTTTATTTTACTCATTTATATATTTTCACAATTTTATTGAGATTGTCATTTTACGTTTGCTGTACGCTTTATTAGTATTTGACACTATAAATATTGAACTGAATATGCGTATTCGGTTTTTGTTAGATATGAAAATATTTTAGTGCTTGGCTGTTACAACTCAAAACCGAAAAATATTCAAATATAACGTTAATAAAAATACGTTAAAGAAATATATATATATAATTCTCGTTTACGTATTTTTTAAACTGGGCGTTTAAATTAGTTATTAGGGAAAAAAATGCACAATTATAATGAGTCCAGCTGGTTTGATTAGACGTGTCCAACTAGCAATTTGTTAAAGTTAGTGCAAAGTATAAACTTTTGCAAAAAGTAAAAATTACATTTTCGATGTGCACGTGACCAGGTGGATGATGATGTGTACTCAAAATGGTCATCATGAAATTTTAAATTGCCTTGCGTTTGTTAAAATACTTGTAAAATTTTCTAGAAAATATCAATTTTTAAATTAGGTTTAGGCTTTTCCACCTTATTTTCTCTTTTAAAAAAACATCAGCTTCTATCACATACTAATTAAGCACATGCTGTTTAAAAGGAAAGATTAACTAGTTTCATCCAAAAGTGATATCTTTTTAATGATGCAGTATAAATATTGTCATAATTTTAAATATTTTGAGTATTAATGTATTAGTAATTAAATGAAGTGAAGCATTTCAGTTTTTTTAATTGTCATATTTGTTTTACATATACATTTGCTAAATGAGCAGACATTTATTTATGGCAATATTTATTCGAATGCTAGATAAATGGCGTAGATGGGAACAGAAACCTGGCTGATACCACCGTTGTATGAAAGTAAGGGCACATTCATCCTTGAAGACTCGGCTTGTACTTCAATACGAGAGAAAATAATATCGGTATCGTCAAAATGTGCCACAGTTTCCCACTCTAATGGAACGCAATGAAACATGGTAAGTCTAATTTTGATATCTTTTTTGGTTGCTTAAGATTAGAAATATTCTGTAAATCAGAAGCAGCATTTTCTTCATTTTTAGTAGTTTCTTAAGCCACTTAGAATTTCTCAGATGGAGGGGGCTCCACTGCTGCTGCTTCAGGACGAGCTGGAAAAGAGTAAAAGGAATTTTATGCACAAAAAGAATCAACTGCATGTTCACTGAAGTACCACTGAAGTGGGGATAGCTAGTCAAGAACGAGTGGGGCCTCATCCAGTCGGCACACGATTCAATAATTTTCTGGAAGTTTTCGACGGGAAGAGCTTGCCAAACATCGGATCGAGGTGTCCATCACCGGACATCATGGTCATGGATGAAACATCAGACATTGGATTGACGCGCTACACAGAGTCTATCCCTAATTCAGTGGAAGTTCAGTGTTGTAAGTACATAGATTGTGACGGATGGGTCGGTCGGTCGTTCTCAGTGAGAGAGTGACAGAGTGAATGAGAAAGGGAGAAAGTGTCATTGAGAGATAATGTGAGGTAGTGAGTGTGAGAGAATGAGTGTGTGACTGAGTGTGAAAGTTGGGGGGAGAGAGATTGAGAGTGGGAGAGACAGTAAGAGAGAGTGAGTGGGAGAACGAGTGTGAGAGTGCCTCTCGCACTCAATCTCTCAGTGTGTGAACTTGAGAGAGAGAGAGAGAGAGAGAGAAATACTAGGAAAGAGTGAGAGCAGTTGATAGTGAGACACTATCTCTCATACCCGCCTTGTCAGTAAGAGGGTGATAGTGAGACAGTATAATAGAGTGTGAGGATGAGTTAGATTGGGAGAGAGTGTGATTGAGAGAGATAGTGTGAGAGGTGAAAGAGTTTACTGTCTCTCGCTCACTGAGAGTGAGTGTGGAAGAGAGTGGGAGAATGAGTGTGAAAAGATAGAGTGAAAGTAAGAGAATGCGAGAGAGTGGGAGACAGTTAGACTCTCCCTCTCACGGTCTCCCAGGGAAAATGGGTGAGAGATACTCACTTTCTCCCACTCGCTCACTGAAAGAGTGTGGGAGGGACTGGGAAAGCGTCTCTCACTATTTGGGATGGGAAGAGAGTGATTGTCATTCTCACTATAAGTGAGATTGACAGACACTCGCTCACTGAGAGTGGGAGAACGAGGGGAAAGAGAGTAGGAAAGATAGTGAGAGCCTCTCCCACATTCACTCCCTGTGAGTGTGGGAGATTCTATCGCTTTCAGCCCCCTCTGTCTCACAAAAAGGGGGAGAGTGAGACAGTCGCTCTCTCCCATAGGGAGTGAGAATGTGTAAGATACTCTCAAACACTATCTTTCCCACTGAAAAACCATTTCTCGCTCACCGAGAGAGGGTTTCTCCATTTTCTCTCTTATTGAGAGAGAATAAGTGCAAAAGAGAGAGTTTTAGAGAGAGGGAAAGATAGTGTGCGAGAGCGTCTCACACACTCTCACTCCCTGCAGGAGAGAGTGACATGAGTATCTCACTCTCCCACTTTCTGCGAGAGAGAAGGGGTGAGAGTGACAGAAAACTCTCGCGCGCTCACACTCGCACTCTCTCTCTCTCGCACTCTCCGCGCTCTTTCTCTCTCTCTCTCTCGCTCGCACTCTCTCTCTTTCGTCAGTTTAGTTCTGAGGTAAAGATGAAAGTGGACCAACTCTTATGTATAAACTTCTTTCAACTGATAAAGTATGGAATACTCTTGTATTTTCACCTATCCCAATGGACATGCCACGTGCACTCTTTACGGCAAATTTTCAACGGACCCTACTGCATTGGGGCTGATGATGTCCGTCCGGTGAAACCATGGACTTTCTTCATTTGACAACTTGTACTGCACTTCATTTTATGATTTTAATTCTGACAACTTTCCAAAGGCTAAATTTTAATGGGGGCTGCCAGAGGTTTCATGGCAGATATCGCTACAGACTGACATAGGGGAAGAGCATCTTAGCTGCATTTAAAAAGAGCATAAAAATGTGTTATCATACTTACTTTGACAGTTCCCATCGTAAAAGGTGACGTCATCAAGAGCAAAGTTTCCATCAGTGGTTTCACCTTCAAATTCAATCTGCATTGAAATAGATAATAATAAACTTGTTAGAGAAGATTTCAATTAAATTCATAGTAAATATATAATGTGCACACCATGCGACTGCCTTGTACTGACTATTGAAATTTTACTTTTTAAAATTCCTACTATCAGCTCACACTCAACCAATATCTTGTGCAAATTTTCAATTGTTAATAAAATACTTTCTATTCGTCCACTGAAGTTCAAATACATTTTTTTTAAAGTTGTAGTTGATGACACTTGATGTTAATATAATTTTTTCACATATTTAAAATTTTGTTGTATTTTTAAAATGTTTCTGTGTTGATCTAAGTAGGAATTGACTTTAGACAATTTTTTTTTATATTACTTGTATCCCTGCAATTTCTTTAGACTTATTTCCTCGAATTTCATTAGAAATGCATTTCTGTTACAATCAATCACTTCGCAGCAATGCAAAAATACATAAAACCTCCAAACATCTTTATTCAAAGTTGTTAAATACAGAAAAGCAAAATGCTAAACAGTTAACATAAAAACTTCTTTTTGAACATAGTCTACCAAAAAACAGTGCCCGGAAATGGAATAGCTTAAGGAGGCTCACCGGACTTTTAATACTCACAAGTATTTTAGGTGTATTACTATGCACATGATAAAATTTCCTGTAAAAGATCAAGCGGTACAAACAGTTTCAGAAGGCATGACTTCGACCTAGATATGTCGTTTCAGAATGCCTCCTCCTTTTACTTCTGACTAAGAATGAAAGTTTAAAAGCCAACTTTTCTTACCTTTGAGCACCCACCGGGGGTCGACGTAGAGAACACTGCGAAGCTACTGGCTAGGACCTGTACCTAGGCAGTCTCGGCCACGGGGGTATAAAATTTATGAACTTCGCGGTTCTGAAGACTAAGGGAAAGGTCGCTTATTGGCCGGCGTCGGTGTCTGGCACGTCCTAGCGCGGCGTGAAACTATTAGCCCGGGGGTTCTCCCCTGGGTACCCACCGCGACGAGCAGCCCGAGCGACTGGTGGGTAGCAAATGACGACCAGTGCTGTTCCGGGAGAATTCCCGGGCGGTGCGCCTCTCTAAGCAGGGAAGGAGATTGAACCTCCCACTCTGGTTCTAAGGAGTGGGGGGGGACCTGTAGTGCGACCTTAAATGTGTTGCGGAACTGGGAATGGCCAAATTGCTGTTATCTTTGAGCAAACATTTTGGCTTGAGACCACTAGGACTACTGCATACCATCCACAATCGAATGGGATTCACTGAGCGGCAGCAATGAACTATGAAAGATAGCTTGAAGTGCCATTTACAGCAAAAAAAATCTTGAGTAGACTGTTTACCCTTTTGTTATTCTTGGATTATAAAAAACTTAGGATACTCGGGAAGAACTCTGTTTACCTTGAGAATTTGTTACCAAGATTCCTAATATCACACATTCTAATTTTGTTCAGAAATGGCTACAAAATTGACATTGAATTTTCTGCGACCACTCCTCATGGCAATAAAACTGTCTTTCTTTTAAAGTTACTTTCAAATGGATTGTATCCTTTCGTGCTCACTAACGCGGGGCCACTTCATTAATTAGCTTTGATCACACTTGAATTCATTCACATCATTTCACTTCACATTATTGATCACGCTTTGTTGCATTTTTACATGGACAGACCTGAAATACTTACGTACTATTCTGCGCGCAGCTAGCGTTGCGTAACTTACGAAAGCTACTATTACGTTATTCCATTCCCCAACAAAAAGCTATTAAATTTGCTTACAGACTCTGTGGAAACCCTTTACCTGAAACATTCGAATGCATTTTTTTTTCCTTTGAAAACATACAGACTCCCCGTGCACCACATATATACAACACGGGGCTTACAGAAGTAAGTTAACTAAACCATTAAAAGTTACATACATAAATAAACATTAAAAGATACATGCATAAGTAAAGCGAACAAAAGCAGAGAACAGCAGCCTAGACTTCAAGAAAACAGATAAGTTCACTGGCCAAGTCACTCCGAACATTTTCAAATCGTTCTGTAAGCAAAATCTAGGGCCATCCAATGTAGGGCATGAGAAAATCAAATGCTCCACATCCTAAGGAACTCTTTTTGAACATTCACATAAATTCTTTGATCGTACATTAAAACGAAACAGGTAAGATGCAAATTTACCGTAACCAGATAAAAACTGAGACACTTTAAAATTTAACGAGAGGAAAGACTCGGAATTCAGTCTATGGTAAATAGAAGGAAGGAACTTTTTGGTGACTTCAGCATTACAAGACGAAATGTATTCCTCATTCCACATAGCTAAAAGCTTTTTATAATGAAAGGACTTCCAATAACTCTTTGGAATGCTAATGTTGATATCAATGGGTAAATTAAGGCATCTTTAGCTAAGAAATCAGCTCTTTCTTTTCCGTAGAAACCATGATAAGCACGCACATAAGCAAAGCAGATATCAATACCTCTAATTCTAAGTGAACTAACAGTTACTAGGGTTTCGATAGCTAATTTATCGCAGCTGGTAATTCTGTTCAAAAGTTGAAGAGAAGAAGAAAGAGAATCGGAACAAATAAGGTACTTTGAGGATGTTGTCCCATTATCCTTGGATCCATTTGACGGCAAGATAAATGCACAGAAGTTCTGCTTGAAAAAACTGTGCATTCATTCCGTATACGGTGTCTAAAAAAACAAAAAAAAAAAAAAAAAAAAAAAAAAAGCCTCGGAATGGCCTTCGAAAAGAACAAATGCAAGGCCAACCTTGTTGTTCATCTTGCTGCCATCTGTAAAGAAAAACCATATGAAAACTTATTTCAAGCAGTCTCTTTATAATCGCAGAAATTTATGAGTTCTAAACTAGCGGGATGAGGAAGATCAGTGAAGGGGACAATTCAATTAATACAGTCTTCCAAAGCATCAGTTGCCAATGGCTCGAAAATATTATTCTTGTATGCAATTTCAAAATCAAAATTTGAATGCATTCAGTCAGCATTTTTAACAATCGAATTTTATTTATTCACGATAGTCGTATATCTATTTAATATCTTAGTTAATAAATTAATATTTTGGAAATTTAATTACTTTCAATAATTAGTATATCAAACTAATAATGGCGATTCTAACAACGGCATTGATTGCAATTCATCTCCTGTTTTAGTGATATTTAGACGAGAAAAATGGCCCTCCTTAGAATGAAAGAAATATGGTAATTACTTAATGAGAACTCATTAAGAATTTTCTTCATAAGGTAGATAAGACAGATCGAACTTTTGTCAACCTCATATAAAAAACCATTATGGTAAATGAATGACTTCAAAATTTTCTTTTCTGTTCTCATCTGGAAGATAGGTGCTTCAATATCCAACTTCTTCAAGGAATCCTAATTTATTGCAATAAATGGAGAAAATAAAATAAAAAACATCCGCCTTCCATATTGAATTTAAATTCCACTTTCCATGAAAGATAAATGCTATTTTTCCCCACGTTTTTTCTCCGCTCCAAATACGAGCTTCCAGAAAATACCAACTGATTTTATTTCATCGCACTATGATTAGTCATCGCATTATGTTAATAGTTAAAACTACTATTAAATTTAAAGTCTTAAATATTAAATAATTTTAAGGAAATATAAATTTAATTTTAAACTTTAGATCCCATTTTACCAGAAATCCATGTCTTTTCTTGCTGCATTTTAAATTTAAAATTCTTATTTGCAAGGAAAAGCCCGAAGGACATCGTAAGTTCAAGCCTTGATTTTAAATCCTGACTCATTTTTCTTGCTTTTAAATCGAAAATAATTAAAAGCATGTCAAGAAATTTAAGCCTTTAAGTTCGTAAACAAAAGATGAGCTGATCTGGGGGAAGGGCAAATAAAAGAAGTACCTCAAGAAAACAGGTTTAGAAGACTAATCTCTATTATAAGAATTGTTTTAACTCCTTTGTAAACGCTTCGGAAAGAGAGAAATAAAAGGATAATTAAAAAAGACGACTTTCTCAGCAGTTATTTATTTATTTTATTTATTTATTTATTTATTATTATTATTTTTTTTTTTTGCTAACATCAGTTTTGAAACCGACCCTGTATTTAAAAGTAGTTTAACTTCTCGTTATCTTACACTCAGTTCCAACTTCTCAAATAGTTTTTACCTTTTCTTATATCTGACGACACTAAATAAACATTATAATCAGTACTTTCATCTATAGACTTTTTTTTAATGTTCTAAAAGCAATATAAAGTATAAAAATTCGGCTAAATTTTTCTGAACACCAAGAGAAAGGTTTTAATTTAAATTTATCTTTCAAAAATGTATTTCATTAAAATTTTTCGTAATATAGAGGAAAATAATACCTTGAAAATAATAGTACATAAAAATCATCCGCTGCCTAAAAAAATTACTCTCAATTATTAGTTTAGTAAACTGTTCTATACAATTTCTGTGCTTTTCAAGTATTTCGTACAAGAAATTTAAAAGATTTATGTTTATTTCTGAAGATTTTTGTTTGCTTTGTTTACTTAAGGCAAAGTACTCGAGGGCTATCCACGTAACGGAAGGGATGTCCTCGTGAAGGTCTTTCTGAGCGAAACTGGCCCGTATACACGTTACACATGGGGAAAATAACGAAAATATCCCCGACCGAATTACCAGTACTTAGCCATTTTCCCTCTGGGCCCCTGGTGGGCTGAGCTCTAATAGAAGGTAAATGTTATTTTTGAATTAAAGATCTTCTAGAAAAAGAAGCCATTCCATCATACATATGAAATGAGTAAGAAAAATCCAGAAATCCCTTTTTAACTACCTGTGCTTTCATAAAATTCCATAAATATTTCATGAAATGAAAGCTAAAAATATATTTTAATCATATGAAAAGTCAGGAAATTTTAAAACTGAATCTTCTTATAATCATAAGGTTATATAATTTCTTTATAACGAAAATTAAACATGTTCTAATTTTAATAAGGAAAGTGTGAATCTGTACAAAACGATTACTTATTTTAAAATGTCAATTTTGAAACGAAACTATTTCATTATTACATAACACGAAGCAAAAACGTGTAGATTCACATTCAGCTATTCGTTAATTCACATTTCATTACCTCCAACAGAATACAACTTTTTAATTACATTTCAGTGAACGCTTGAGCAATTCTCACCTCAAGAATCAACTATCTTTAAAACATTTGTCTACTGTTTAGATTTAGAGCCTTAACACGTTGAGCGCCGCGCCGAATTTGCTGTCCTTTCCGTTCAGCCGGCAGCGAGCTAAGCCGTATTTTTGTTTAGAATGTTTCAATACATTTCATTAAAACTAAATTCGATCACATTTCATTGAGACTTTATTTTTTAACTTTAATACTGTCGGTCCCGCAGGCCGACACCAGCCAAACGAAAATTCCAGTGCCGGTCACCAGGGACCGACGCCGGCCACACGGAAAGTTCACTGCCGGTCCCTAGGGACCGGCGCCACGATCAGCGTGTTAAGTAAACCGATATGCATTTTAATTTTACCAGAATTAACTTCATAACTCACTCTGTAGGCAGTAAGCGTTGCTACAGAAACTTGTCCATACATCCAATCAGGTCTCGATGTGTCGAATTTTTTGGTTGCCATCTTCCAAATGAGTAATCGCTGTTCTTTTTCACCCTCCGGAGGTGTTAACTCAACTCGTACGACGCTGAGCGCTGTAGCCTCTCCTCGTCCGAAGGGAGCAAACCAGAAACTTAGACACTGAGCGTCATTCTGAGAGGAAGCGAAATCAGGACTCCGAAGAATTGGATTCTGAGGAGATGCCTGATTGAAGATGTCGAAGAACACGTATCCGGCTGCAATGTGAAAGAATACCGAATTAAAGATGAAACTATTAGACACTGTAAGAAAAAAAAGGATTTGTTGGACTAGATCAATAATTTAGGACTTATGAACAGAGAAGTCTTTACCATTTGGTTAATTGCTTTAGCTCCCTCTCCCCTATACGTGACCCCAGCCGTTTATTGATATTAACAAAATAGATACATAATTTGGAATGTAATATAAAAATTTAGAGTATAATGTATAAAATAGCATAATAGTAAATGTACAGAATTTTGAATGTAATACAAAAATTTTAAACATAATATACGGTATAACTCCTTAAAATATGTACACAATTTTGAACATAATATGCGACGAAAAGAAATAGTAATGAAGTGTAGTTTATATTTCCAACAAAATCCATAATCTATAGATATAGTAGAAAATCTATAGATTAAAGTCGGTAAATAAAATATGTTTATCTAATTCAATATATATATATATATATATATATAGGGTTCAAATTTCCAGATTTTGAAAAATATGTAGTTCAAATAATTCATGTGTAAATATAGTTCACATTTCAAAATGTTCATGTACATAGTTCAAATAGTTCATATACGTAGTTCAGGTAATTCTAATAAAGAGTTCAGATATATCAAAAAATTGAACTTTCTAAAATATAAATAGATCTAAAGTTTAAATAAATTGTACTTTATCATACTGTTCAAATTATGGTAGATTCCATGAAAGGTTCAAATTATAATAGATTCCACTAAATCACCTGGAATATTTGGAAAATTTTAAAATCAAGATGATGTAGTAGTGCTATGTTATGCTTGAACATCCACGGCTTGATCAAAGAACACATTACTCCTGTATTCAATATTACGATGAAATAATTAAATGAATAATTAGTGGAAATTTCTTATCCCCATCAGAAAGGGAAGCATGATAATTATAAAATCTCCGATGTGGGCATCACATTACTTCCTTGTACAGCCTATTAAATTATCTCTCCAAGTGGAAGAGTTTCGCGATGCACAGTTCAGGGGACACTGTTGGATATGGAACTACGCAGCAGACATCCCAATTGTGTGCCTCTGTTGACCAACCGTCATTGCCAACTACGCCTACAATGGGCTAAGGAGCATAGAGACTGGACCATACACAAATGGAAGACAGTTGCCTCGTCAGATGAATCACGATTTGGCTAAGGAACATCGAGACTGGACTGTGCACAAGTGGAAGACAGTTGCCACGTCGGATGAATCACGATTTGGCTAAGGAACATTGAAAAAGTGGAAGACACTTGCTACGTCCGATGAATCACGATTTGGCTAAGGAACATTGAACAAGTGGAAGACAGTTGCCACGTCGGATGAATCACGATTTGACTAAGGAACATCGAGACTGGACCGTGAATAAGTGGAAGACAGTTGCCTGGTCGAACGAATAACGATTTCTGATTCATTGCGTCCATCGCCATCTCACGGTACGCCGTCTTCCAGGCTAACAGTTACTCCCTCCCTGTATAACAGGTCATACAAGGGCTGCTGCTGGCAATATTATTCTTTGAAAGACGTTCTCATAGGCGGCTTTCGGAACTTAAGTTGTAATAGAACAAACCACGAGAACTACGGAGCATCTGAACATAATTGCGAATCAATTGCGCAATTACATTGGAAGTGCAATATTCTGGCAGGATAACGCCCCATGTTACAAGTCCCATACTGTATAGGAATGGTTCGAGGGTCATGACGATAAATTCCTGTTACTGTCTTGGACACATAACTCGCCTAGAGCACATTTCGAATATCATGGAGCGATAGCTTAGAGCTCAAACACCACTATGTAGAAACATCTCCACTGTGATATCCATGCCAAGAAGAGTTGCAGCTGTTTTCCACGCCAAAGGCCACGCAGCGCCGTTATTGAGTAGGTAGTTGTAATGTTTTGGTTCTTCAATGTATGTATATATATTTTTTAACGCTTTGCAGTTTCACTAACCTTACTATCAGATAGTAATTTTACTCCTATTTAATACTAGTACTGTTAATTTTTTTTATTATTACATTTACTATTTCACATAATAATAACAATTCTGTTAATCATTATATCATTTACATTTAATTATCATAATTATAATTTTGTGTTATAAGTATTATGTACATTAATTATTATTATAATTTTGTAATAAGTATTTTGTGTATGTAGTTAACTCCTTACTTTAGTTATCAAGATTTATAGCTGTAATATTTCAACATTTAGTGGTTCAATATTAATCATCTTTCCCAAGTCTTTCACTTTTCAATTTACTATCGATTCACCTCCTTCTCTTAGCACTTAACCTTCAATATCTTTTCTTCAATAAATTTATAATACTCCTTTTCTTATTAAATATAATACTTCTTTTCTCTGTAAAGATTATTAGTTAGAAAATTATTAAATATAACATTTATATTTTTATTATTTACTTTTAGCATATCTATAATATTTATATCTAGTCTGCACTTTACATTTTTCTAAATTTATTTAATGTTTCTTATATATTTAGTGTTTTTCTTATTCTAACTTGGCTTATTTCTAAATTATTCATGTTTAAATTCTTTAATATGTATAATGATATTTTATATTTATATATAATTTGGTTATTCTTCGAAATTAATATATGAAAGTCTGTCAACATAAATTTTCAACATATGTAACAATTCTCTAAATATTCATGTTATGAGCTTTATTATGAACATTGCCATCTATGTAAACACCACAAGACCTGAATAATCTGTCTCTGTATGTTATATGCATATTTGTATAACCATTGCAACTTTATAAAATTTTATATTAAGTAAATGAGCTGATAGGTAGTTTCTATCAATAGAGCACAAGTGCTGAAAGTCAAAATGATGGTGTAGCTGCTTTATTGATGGTCTCCTGTATGTATGTTACCGTGAAAGACCGAAATTGGAGAATGTAGACTTTCACCAGAGAATGTCAACATTCACCAAATACGTCGGTGAAAGATCGAATATTTCTTTGCATTCTTGTACATTCGGAACCTCACCGGTGTATGTAGACAATCGCAGATATGCTCTGGTGTAGGTGGAAAAGAGAGGAGTATATGTACACGCTGCCATTGCAAAAGGAAGTGTTCCACAAATAAATACAGTTGTAAAAGCAAGGGCCTCTTGTGCAATTCAAAGTGTCATAATAGTTTAAGTTGTTGCAATAAATAAGATTTGAATCTCATAATTTGGTAAGTTTATAACTTCTATTATTTTCCTTTCTCATTTTGAATGTTCTTAAATTCTTAAGTTCTTATTCTGAGTCTCAAGTGCGTTTTTCGTAAATGAATTACGGAGAAGGAAATATAATATTCTTATATGTTCAACATTCACCATTAGTACATGGTGAATGTCGACATTCACCGGTGTAAGTCAGAAATAAGAGTATTTGGAAAATATTTTGGACATACACCAAGCGACTGTGAATGTTGACATTCACCGGTGAAAGTGGACATTCTCCAGATTTCGGTGTTTCACCGTAACATGTATATATACTCGTTTGGTAGAGCCGATTGAAACAAAAAAGGGAGAGGCACAACTAGATGTTATAGCAGTCCCATATACGGAATTTTAACGTTCTACGACTACCAGTTTTTTAGTTAATTGAAATACGTACGTTCGTACAGATGTAACTAAAAATATCTTGCCTGAATACATTTTAAAACCCTTTCACAGTCGTTTTGGAAAACCGTTTGGTTTCCTCCTTTATTCTGTCTTTATTTATTTTTATTTATTCTGTCACACAAAAACATCATTCAAAATGGACTCAAGAGCAATCAAAATGGATATTCGAGTTCAAATATCATACCCAAAATTTCTCGAGGGTAACAGTAATTCCTTAAAAGTGTATTCTGGATTAGGTAGAATTCTGGATTAGGTAGCATCTCTTAACGGAGCTATAAAATGTTTCGCAACTTTCGAAACAAACAAAAATTAAGTTACACATGTACTTTATTACTGATATTTTGTTTAAACTACTTCATGACGTATAAATTTCAGCAATAACAATAGTTTTATTACTGATATTTTGTTTAAACTACTTCATGACTTATAAATTTCAGCAATAACTCAATTTCTAAATTCTAGCAATAACTCTGAAAATATGCTTGTCATTCAGCCCATACCTACGGGTTTTCATACTTTAGAATATTTAGGCGTTCAAATTCATCTACGTTTTATAATGACATCCTAAAATACAATATAAGCTTTCATAATGCTCCATCTCCATCGATTATTTAATAATAAAAGTTAACCTCATACTGCTTTAAAAGATATTTCTTTTGCTATAGTCCCGGAAGATCGTTAAAACTGAATCCTTCCTTCTAAAATCCTAAATATGAGATAAATCTGGTAAAGATTTTGGTATTTTATAATTTCATTTTCAGACAAAATTAAGTTACTGCACTGCCTTAAATCATGTCCGAGTACAAATATCGTTTAACGGATACCACATTTCTAAATTTGTTATTGTGATCTAAATTATATACACTGCAAATATTAATCAAGTAAACACAGATCTGATGATATCGTCGAGATTAAACAAACTGCTGAAAAATGAAAAATACTATGCGTTGATTAAAAAGAAATTATGCGTAAGAAATGTAATATTTATTTCACCACAAAATGTGCACTGAATCGCACGTAACAGGAGAAATTTCCATTTAAATCAGGTTAGCTTACTTCAATGAGACAAAATTTTTTAGGGCTATCTAACTAATGAAAGGAATGCCTTTGTGGCTGATTTTCTAAGGGAAACTGCTCATACGTTACAGATGTGGAGAAACACGAAAGCCAATCAAGCAGCCAATCAAGCAGCCAATTTGCTTGTCTGGGCTTTAGACAGGCCTCTGAGTGGTAAAATACCATTTTGTCAAGCAGTTATATAGTTACTTTCGTATCCTCTTTTATTTTCCAGCTCGCAGCGACATTTTATAAATGAACTAAAAATGTAAAGACATAATAAAAAA